AAAGCTTAAATAAGAAAACATTTTAATAGTTACACTAATTCTGCAACAACAAAAACTGACAATCGAAAAATATTTCAACTCGTTTATTTAGATTTTTTGGGGTAAGTAAAACGGAGTTTTTCAATTACTTGGGTTGTAGGTTAGCCTACGGGCATGTTATTTAATTCCAAGTTTGTTTAAATCACATGGGAAAGCTCTTGCAATATAATTTAAATTATAACTTAATTTAACTAAATATAACTTACACAAAAAGTCTAAATGGTCCACATACTGTTTAAGCTACTAATCATTTTGGCACAGTGTTAACATCTTTATTGTCTATGTACCTCCAGAGTAACATGTTGGTTTCTTGCTGCAGGGCTCTAAGGATGATATGGCAGACGCAGAGCTGGACCGGATCGGCAGCGACATCGAGGAGGGGGGGCTGGACCTCAGCCTGGCCTTCCAGCCCATCACCGCCTACGTCGCTGACAAGAAGGAGATGTTGCAGCAATGTCTGCACGTCCTCGGGGAGAAGAAGTTACGCAAGATGCTGCCCGAGGAACTGAAGGTGAGGGATTGAGTCTGAATACTAACTCATGATCTGTGCAAGCATGGATTAAGATAAGCAGGATGTCAAATAAAAGTTTGAACCTGTATGATTTCAATTGTTGAAAAAAAGGGTACCTTCCATTGATCAGGAAGATTTGTGGAGAAATCAGGCTAATTTCTCAACATATTCGTTTACATTTTGGACCTCTCAAATGGTCTGTACACCACAATAAAATGTATTTTGCGTTGACACTGTATTTACTGACTTCAGTTTTGGATTTAAGGACCACATTTTGTGTTGTAAATCAACATTTGTGGCCATATTCTGTACTGTTGGACACAGCACCATTCATCTGAAAAGCAACACCACCTTGAGATAGGGATCATTGCATGAAAAGGTTTGTTCCATGACTTTTATTGTTTTATGCCACCTTTTTAGTTTTCCAGGTCACATAAGTCAGATAGAGAATTGCTACTCTTTATTTTAGTTATTGAACATACTTTACCTTTTTAATCCGTATCTGTAAGGTGTGTGCCAACTCAAGACATTGTAAACATGTGTTAATGAAATGTATCAGGTATTACATACTTGGCTAAACTAACAAATATAAGCTATACAGATAGAGTAGTAAGACTGTATGATTCTGCTTTATGCTCTGATGTTGTTCTAGCATCCCATCGTTAAAGAAACTATTAAACACATTATCATTCACAGGACTGTAATTTAGAGGAAATCAAAAAGATGTGCTGGGATCAACTGGAGCCCATCTCAGAGCAAAATCTCATTCAGATTCTAGCAGGTAAGAATTAAAGTCATTTAGCCAGGTTTTCTTACAAACTATCTTGAAACAATATTTCAAACGCTGCATTATCAATCCCTAAAGCTGTTGGTTGTTCTTTAGGGGAAGACCTGACATCTGGAAACACAGAGGAGACTTTAGAAAGCCAGTGAGTGAAATGACTACATTTCAGAATACAAGTTTTTTTTTTCATGAAATATACGGCGGCCGACAGGTGCCAACGCGCTACAAAACATTTCCATTAGGAGAAAGCGCTGCAGCTTAAGAAACAATGCAAATATAAAAACACAAATGTGCCGAAACGCATGCAAATTAAGAAACATATTCACCAACTTGACAACACATGCAGAACTTAAAAAACATTCACCAACTCGCGCAGCGTTGACTAAAAGCGCTGCATAAACGCTGCAAATACAAAACGCTGCAAGAAGCTCAAAACACAACGGAGCGGCGGCGCTTTTAGTTAAAGCCGCGCATGTATGGTCAAGATTTCTGTATGTTTGCATCGATTTTTGAAACTGCAGCGTCCCTCCGAATGTAAGTGTTTTACATCTTACATGTTTGACATCTTACATATCCCATACTTTAATATGATCATTTATTTTTTCCTCGGTCAAGGCAAGATAATAATGTGGACTCTACATCTAGCTTAAAAGAAACTGCAAAACCTGAGGACCCTAAACAAGGTATTTCATATGCTAGGTACACTAAACTAAAGGAAAAATATTTAATAGGAGCATTTCAAATAACAATGTGTAATTCTCTCCACAGAGGGATCAGGAGAGGAGAGTGACGTCCTCAGTATAAACGCAGACACTTACGACAGTGACATAGAGGGACATAAAGAGGAGCAGGGTAAAGCTGTGGAGGGGGAGGTAAAGGCAGCTGTTGTAGACCCAGCTTCTGTAAACCCAGCTGCCGTAACCACAGCTACTATAAACCCTGCCCCCCCCACTGTCCCACCTGCAGAAGCAAAGAAAGACCTGCAGAGCGACATAGACCGGAGTGTCAGTGAGATCTTAGCCCTCTCTGCAGGCACAGAGGAGGCTAAAGAGCAGAGTGTGGCCCCTCCTCAGTGCACTGATGTTAGCTCACCTGTTGTTCCCCCCGTGTCAGGCCGGGCCCTTGCGGGAGGCCCCCCTTCCCTGCAGCAGCTGGAGCTCCTGGAGCTGGAGATGAGGGCCAGAGCCATCAAGGCCCTGATGAAAGCTAGTGATGGGAAAAAGCTTTGTGTGGCAAAAAATGTGTAGTATGCTTTATTTGTTTTTGGTTTGCAGATTTAAAGACTTGTGTTATTACTCCATATTGGAATGATTCTGCAGACTGTTTAACGCAGAATAGAACACATCTGATATGATTAACATTATGGGGTCTGCCCATGTACTGTTGTATTTGCCCACTAGATGGCAGTGTGCACCTGCAGTACAGGTGAGGTGATGTGTCTGAAGAGCAAGAGGAGGTATCGAGTATCTACTCACATTACAGACGAAATGCACACGTTTTTTTTTTTTAAACATAATGTTATTTTGATTTACAATTTGTCCTTATTTGAGTTTCTGACCATATCAGAAAGATATGTTAATAAATAAAAAGACAAACTTTTAGCAGCAGTGTTGTGAGGTCATTTACCTGGTTTGTTTCTTTACTGAACTCTTGTTTTAGTAATGCTCAAGTAAAAATAGTTATATCTTTCTAGTTTTTATACTCTAAATATTAAAGGGATACTCAACCCACAAAAAAGAATCATTTGCTGAGGATGCATAGCACCTGATTAAGCATGATATTGTTAATGGGAAGTGTTTCAACGTAGTGCAGTTTTAATAGATGCGCAGCTTAAGTTCATGGAGATTGTGTAAGGATGTTTTTCTTAAAGGTGGGGTAGGTAAGTTTGAGAAACCGGCTCGAGATACACTTTTTGTTATATTCTATGGAATGCTCTTAACACCCCGATAGCAATGAATATCTTAAGTGCTTTGACAAAAAATCCATAAAAAAATTTCATCTGTGGAAGCCGTAGTACTGGAAAAAGCACGACCAATCATTTTAGCCGGCCCGGCTAAAATAACTGGATGGCCTACCTGCCTGTCAGCCTTCCATCTGTGCACAAACTTATCTCGTGCCCTCATTGGTCATGTGCGCGTTCGTGTGTGTTGGAGGAGGGGCTCTGTAAGGAAGTAGCAGATTTAGTTGTATTTGCATGCTTTGTTATGGAGTGTTACAGATAATTATAACTGAACGAAATTGAAGTACCTTTGTAATAAATAAACAATGTTTGTTTACATTTGTTCATTGTATAAATGGTTGTGTAGAAGATGCGGTAATGACGTAAAATTTACACACCGACGAGCCAAAGTCGTAAGAGGCGTTCCCCAAACTTTAACCAAGGCCAGCTGTTTTCGTACACCACGCCCTAAAATTCCTCCGCTTCAGAATGGGTACACGTCGAGCTTTACAGGAGGGTTTGGTTCCCGCACCGGAGCAACCTTAAGGGGTTCCAAACACGACCTCTAACCTTGTCAGGAAGCCGCCGTGAGCTACTGCATCGTAAGGAACACTTTTATAACCGAACCTCGGGTCATAGGAGCCTCTAACTCTTTTCCCGGGATATATATAAAACTTTTATGTGT